AATATTCCATTATATGTATATACCACACTTTGTTTTTCTAGTCATCCGTCAATGCTCAGTTGGCTTACTTCCAATTTTTGGCTGTTGTGAATAATGCTGCTGTGAACATGGGATATAAATATCTCTTTGAAACCCTACTTTCAGTTCTTTGGGGCACATTCCCAGAAGTAAAATTCCTGAATCATATGGCAATTCTATTTTTAATATTCTGAGGAACTACCATATTGTTTCTCAGACTGCTTTTAAGATTCTCCTCCCACTTTGGGTTTCTTTGATTCTGTCTCGAGTATGGGTTGGTTTTTGTGTTTTATAGTTTTTTGTTTGTTTGCTTTTTGCATTTTTTCTGTTTGGAGTTCACTGAGTTTCTTAAATGTATAATTTTGTCTTTCATCAAATTTGAGAAGCTTTTGGCTATTATTTCCTCAAATATATATATATATATTTTTCTGCACCAATCTCTTACTCCAGCCCTGGGACTCCAATGATATGAATTTACACCCAGTGTCCCTAAGTCTCTATTCATTTCTTCAGTCTTTTCTTTCTTTTTTTTAGATAACTTTCTCTTTCTATATCTTAAAGTTCATTAACTCCTTCTCTGTTATCTCTATTCACTATTAAGCCCATCCAGTGATTTTTTTTTTATTTCAGATATCGTGGTTTTTGGTTCTAATGTTTCCATTTTTTTTTTTATAGTTACTATTTCTCTCCTGAGAACTTCTCTTTCCAGTGTGTTTACTTTTACCTTATGTAGCATAGTTATAATACTTGTTTTAAGTCTTTGACAATTCCAACATGTGGGTTATATTGGGATTGGCATCTTTCTGGCATCTTTTCTCATAAAATTGATTATATTTTCATAGGTCTTTGTATGTTGAGTAGTTTGGGATTATATCCTAGACATTTTGAATATACCATGTGAGACTCTGGGTCTTATTAAAACCCTCTAGAGCAAGGGTCAGCAAACTATGGTCTTTGGGCCAAATCCAACCTTCCTCCTGTTTTTATAAATAAAGATTTATTGCCCTGGGTTTTGGCATCCAAAACAGTTTTATTGGAACACAGCCTTTTCATCTACATATTGTCTGTGGCTGCTTTGGCACTGTAACAGCAGAACCGACTAGTTGCGATAGGCTGTATGGCCCACAAAGCCTAAAATGTTTACTGTCTGGCCCTTTATGAAGTTTGTTTGCTGACCCCTGGTCTAGTAAGTGTTGGTTTTGTTTTTTGTTTTGTTTTGTTTTGTTTTTAGCAATCCTGTTCATACTGCAAGTCTTGTCTCATCTTCTGTGGGCCATGTTCCAAAGTCATCAGTTTTTCAGAGGCGTTGCTATGCTGCTTTGGGGTTTTTTTTGACCATGCAAAACTTGTGCCATTTCATACAGAGAATTAGGGGATCGCTTCTCTAGCTTGCTTCTCTCTTAGGT